TACGCGGAGAGAGACAAGGAAATGGTTCACGATTTTTTAAAAGAGTTTTACAGTCAATTATTCTTTCATCTATCAATCTATTTATTTATTTCTTTCTCATTTGCGTCGAATAATTAACAATTATTTTAATGCACTATTGGGGACTCTATTAATTTAATTATTTAAATTGCTATTATAATATAACTATACTATATATACTATATCAAAGATATCATATATTATCATATAGTAACAAAGAATACTATATTCATTGATATTATCGTGTATCGTCATCGTAGTAAGTTGTTACTCTCGCCCACTGGTGGTATCTGTACTAACTAAAATGATTTTATTTACGTGTAAAGTTGACTTATGTTCTTCTATGCACTTCTGTATTCTTTGATATAATTAACAATGTTTCATTTTACAAAAAATAATAATAAAAGTACGATTTAAATTAATTAATAATTTTAAACATGCAAATTTAATGTACACGGATAAGAAAAAAGAAATGTAGTATATTTTTTACCTACAAGATGGCTCTAACATAATAAAAACATCCTCACTATCTGACAGTAAAAAATACGTGGAAGTGTAATTAGTGACGATATCGGTCTCTATAATATTCGTAATTGTGATATATTTAAAACGTGAAGTAAATTTATCATTGATTCATAAATATACACACTGTAACATTTGTCATTAGATTAATAATTAGTAAATATTAATTAATTTTTATTTTTAGATGTCTAAATTAACTGAATGGCTTACGTATACCAGTGTACCTTTAGGTGTATGGTTAGCAGTAATTACTGGATATATTAATTTTTCTTATGCTACAGAATGGCAAGAAATATTTCTATTCTTACCTCTTATCGCTTTACTAGTATTTGGCCTATATGCAACCAGTGTCGTCTTATACAGAACATTTACATTCAATGATTGCAACAAGGAAGCAGCTGAACTCAAAAAAGTAATATACTTTTTCTTTTCTCTGCTACATACACAAGGCTCGATAATACAAGATCAATGTAATAATTTAATAATATATCTTGTATATATTTCAGGAAATAGAAGAAGCTAAAAAAGATTTACGTAAAAAAGATATTTTGTCGTGAACAAATTGAATATATTTTGATACTCCTTTGTTATTAAGCGTATACTATGAATATATATATTATACATAATTTTCAATGAATTATCTAAGATTCTTCTATGATTTACATTTTAACTATTTAAGTGATTCGTTCTAATTCATATTGTAAATGATTCTTTTCTGCACAATTTGTGCATCTGTTTTATTTTTTGTTCGATATGACTATTATACGACCAAGAAAAGATACTTTAACTCATTTAATATGGTTAAAGTAATATTTGTAATTAATTATTTTTCTTTATAATAAATGAAGATACATTTATTTAGATTTTTTCCTTTGAAGTATTACAAACATATTGAAAACAATGGAAGAAAACAAAGTTCTGCTGCTTTGAAGTGTCTTTACATCTAAAAAAAAATGAAATCATCCAATAAATTGGATTTAAGTGTTATTTTTTTTATAAACTATTTACTAAATTTATTTGAGATAAGATAATTGCTTTATCTTCTTATTTTTTCGTATGATTTGCTGATGAATGAAAATACAGTATTGTTATACCATTTGTTTGAGAAACAGTCTAATCAACATTGTTATAATAATAATATATATTTTCAAAGAATTTGCATGTGTGTGTTACATATTCCTACGCACACACGCAAAAATGTGTATGTACCAACAAATAAAGGAATCCTTAAATACGCACGTATGCATAGAAGAGAGAAGGATAAAACTGAAAATTCAAAAGTTAATCACGCAAATTATATTTGAACGAGCACAATATTGTTAAGCATTTTGTTATGAAGAGAAAATCTTTTTTAGTTTCTTTCTTTTCCTTTTTTATTTCTTATTATTTCTCTGTAAAAGCTCTCTTTCTCATCGATTAGAGTATTAATTTTAATAGTTGTAATGAGTGAACAAAAGTCACGTCGTATCTACAATTCCTATATTGTTCTCTCGCAAAACTGTATATCTTAGAAATTCTCCAAATTTGTTATACTCACAATTATCTAGATGAAATTAAAATATTTAGTATTTTATTTATTTATTTTTATTTATGAAAAAAACAATATTTTTTTAAGAGTTAAATAAAAAATTTGATGCACATACGTACACATATATATATTTATATTTATATTTATAAATATGTATATAAATATATATATTTACGTGTTAATTAAAATTTCGTTATAATTCATCAACGCTAGAAACTGTATTATAATTCTTACACATTTTAATGGATTGACTTGTTTAAATTTTGTTTGTTTTTCTTTGAATGTGCAACTATCTCTTTTTTTCTTTCATTTTCGTTTAAAAAATACAAGATATTTTTTGTTTGTTTGTTTAGTTTATACATATGCGAATGTACATAACATATACAAGATTAATTCCAATGTATATGAAAATGCACCTCTTTCTCTCGCTCTCTCTCTCTCTCTCTCTATTGTTTTTACATCAGAAAGTCCATCAAGTGCACGTAGTACATTAATGAACTAGAAATACATATGTATAGCCCCTCCATGTATATGCAATTATTTAAATGCATGCATAAAAGGGTATTTTGTATTTATTTATTTATTCATTTATTGTTATTTACTGATATCTATAACTATCCTTAGTTTTGAATGTATAAATACAATAAAGTAAACGTATTTTCTATGAACAAACTACAAATATTATTATTATTAATATTATTATTATTATTTTAATATTATTATTTATTACGTGGACTTTCTAACGTAAAAATAGAATGAAAATTTCTCCAGAGAGTGAAGAAGCAAAAAATTCGTTAACCATAATACGTCTGTTAATATGATCCATAAATATGAATTGTATTTTAATACAAGCTCCAAATAAAATTTTTTTTATTTTTTATAGCCCGCAAGATTATTTTTGTATATATATATAAATATATATATATAGTTTTGAAGGTGAAAATCAATTATTCATCGACATAGCATAACAAATAGAATTTGGATAATCAATTTGTGTTATTTTATAGATTTGTTGCATTTCCAGCTATTTTTGTTATTTTTGTTATTTTTTCTTTTTTTTTTGGATACATTTATGAATATATCACATAAAATTTTTAGCTTGTTGATATACATGTCAATTCTCCTGTATATAATGAATAAAATATCCTAAACATGTACGTATATTTACAAACAAAGCAATCGTAATTACTGTGAAAATAAGTGGTTATAGATGTAATTAACCACCCTTTCTCAGTCCATTGATATTTCAAACTCATACATATGTATAACTTCAATCATCGAGACTTTGAGATAGCAAAAAGTTAGCAGCAAGATTCTCATTTTTTTCACATGCAAAGTAAGCTTGTACAACTAAATGTTCAGGAAATCCTAATGCCGTCAACCTATCAATAGCCTCTCTGTCTTGTGGTGTCAACTGAATCATTTCAAAGCCTGATCGGGTATTAGTAGTTCCACCACCACCGCCTGAAAGACCACCTGAAGCAGCTGCTGATGCTACTGCTGCTGCAGACACCGGTGTAACTCGTGCGCCTGTACCACCAGTTGTTTCTACTGTATTAAAAAGATTTAATTGTTTCTGAGTACCCATTTAATGAATCATCAATAATACTTGCCAAACTTATAATTTAATTTAAAGAAACAAACCTGGCTCATTCAGTATACGTATAAATGCTTCCTGATTTTGTGAAATGTGCTGTAAAAGGGCAGGATTAGTTTGTCCTATTTGCTGGAGCACAGTATTTAAGAGTTGAGGATTCTGTTGAATAACTTGACGCATCTGTTGAAATTGTGGTTGCATTCGCAAAAATGCCAAAGGATCTTGACCTTGATCTTGAGCTTGTTCTTGCGCTTCAGCAGGATCCTCTAATGGATCTTCAAACAGTTGAGCAGGTATACCTGTCAGAAGATACTCAACTGCCCTATCCGGATTGTTAAAACTTGCTCTTAAAGCTTGTTCAACCTGTTCTCGTTCATACCTAAGAAAAATAAAATTTACAGTAAAATGTAAATGTAATTAACTACATTTATGTCATAACTAAACATAAATGTAAGTTATTTATATAAATGTAAATTTACACATAGATATAAATTTATTTAATTTTTTACTTACCCCATATCCATAATATTGTTTACCATTGTATTATATTCTTCACCCATCAGCAAGGCACTCTCGGCTTGTCCTCCAGCGGCCACTGGCTCTGTCACGGTTGATTCTTGCACATTTGTAGGTGGTTGAGAAACGGTTTGAGCAGTAGGATTTGTACTAGGTGGTGGTGCTGAGCTGTGGCAAGAAAAGAAATATTATTAAATTATCTTAATTATTGCCAAAAACATTTTCTTTCGCGGTTAAAACTATAACATAAATATTTACATTTAAAAACATCTACAAAAAAAATTAAAGTTTTAAAATTACTCCGATCTTTATAAAATATCATCTCTTGATAATAATTATACTTTTGTTTTACATCATTAAATCACATGCTATTGTTTAAATACCTGGTAGTTGTGTCTTCTTTGTTGTCACTTTCAACATTGTGCTCTTCAGTCGCAGTAGAACCACTACCAGCTTTAGGTTTTGTAATCATAAGGACTATAAATTTCTTTTCATCGATACTATATTCTGTCAATGGTTTGTCATCTATTAGTATTTTTCCTGAAACAATGATAAGTAGATTTCAATATTGCATAAATAAATTGCACCAATATATGCAATAATATAGAATGCATATACATATATATATATATATATATATATATATTTCTATGCATATCTATATATATATATATATATAGGTATTAGGAAGATAAATGATATAGCAATCCTTGTAAAAAGATTTTAAACTTAACCTGCAATAACTTATATATTGTACACAAATTAAAGTAATTAAACTAACATTTAGCGCTTACACATACGTCAAATATTTTGAAATAATATACATAATGGATTACTACCAATCGTACATGCATAGTTAGAAATATTATAAATTTGAGTAAGAAAATAGTGAGGTTATGGGCTTGAATTTACCAGCATATATTAACTTCTGATGTTCGGTAGGAAAACCTTCTTGAGTCTCGATGTGTTTTTTAAGTTCTCTTACCTGCAATTAAAAGAAAAAGAAATTATTTGTCTAATTAACGAAAACGAAGCTAAATGAAATTCAATATCATTAGGGATTCTTACTCACCGTTTCGGATGGGTCAATTTCTACCGTAAACGTTTGTTGTTGTAAATTTTTCAGCGTTATAATCATATTGTAGAATTTTCAAAGAAACAATATACCCCACTTTCAATGATTAAGCGATACTTCTTCAATCTCCTTCAATAAGAATAAAACGAACTTTTGGCTGAAATCTTTTTAGTGATGAGTCGGCACTGCTTTAAGCAGCTCAAAGATGCATAATCCGTGGTATAAAGCGAGAGGAATAACGCACCGTTCTATCAATTTATGAGCATTTCCTTTGATTCCAATTCGGATAGAGATAATGCTTAGATGGCAGCACTAATTATTTTATTTTCATTAAATTCCAAAACATATTATTTCAAATTTTTACGTATTGTTAAAGTAAAAAAATTTCCTATTTATTTTTAATTAATAATCTTCTATTTTCATTAATTTAACTAATTTCTAACAATATTAAGAGTAAATTGTTTTTATTTACGATTGCTGTATTAATTAACTTCATAAAAATAATCTTTGTAATAAATAAAAAAAAGAAGTATGTTATTTTAAACTTCACTTTTCCCGCCAAATGTATTGTCACTTGTTTAACTAGATAAAAGAAAGGGTTACCTTACAATAGTTGCATAAATTAAATGTTTTGGAGATGCAAGTATGTTTGAGATTATTCTCTATAATGTGAACCTTTAAAACATATGATTCATTTACGTAGATTAAAATAAAGAAAACAATGACAGAGTATATTAAAGCGATATGCAAGAAAGACAAACGTAACTTCTATTAATTATCAAAGAGGAAAAATAATTATGAATGAAGAATGTCCAAATTGTGGACAAATAACAAATGCATCAGATTTAAGACTTGTAAAAGATAGTTGTGGACATACTAAATGTAGAATGTGTCTTTTGTACGAGGAACAAGGATGTAGAACTTGTCGTAATCTTCCACAAACAAGTGGAAGTTTAGGTAATAAATTATTTCTCTTTTTTATATAATAAACAGAATAATAAAATCAATCATTAATATTCAATATTATTCTTATTTTAATCATTTTTACAGTAGAATTAACGAATAACAATCGTGCAGATACAAAAAGTTCAATAGCCACAGAAGAAATAATTTTGCCGTTAGAGCTGGTCATTAATAAAAATTCAAAGTGCTTTTATAAGGACACTTTTAGTAGCGAAAAAGATTTATATAAATTGACGACTGTAAATATAGACAGCGAGAAAAATTCGATTAAAACTTACATTCCTAAGATAGAACTTTACAATATAAGTACTGATGTGCAAATGCATTTAAATAATGATAACGATTCTATATCTCAACCAACAGTCACTTTTAATGACATTTCAACTTCTGTTGAAACAAGAGCAAATATTAGGGAAATAGTAAGTAAAATTGCATTGATGTTATGTGTAGACTCGTATAATAAAAATTAATATTTCAATGTAATTTAGAAATCAAAATCGAAGTTGATTGAGTTGGTTGATAAAGAACCATCAAAGGAGAAACACTTAAAATCATCTAATAGAAGTCATATATCAACAATACCTGGAAGTCCCGAAAAGTATAAATGTAATGTTTGTAATAAAATATTTCAAAACAAAAAAGGTAAATGTTACCACGATGCATGCGTAACTGGAGTTAAGCCCTATCAATGTACATTTTGTGATAGAAGTTTTGTGAAACGATCTCACTTTGAATATCATGAAAGAGTCCACAGTGGATATAAACCATATAAATGTAATATATGTGGAAAGGCATTTCCACAACAAAACAAATTGAATAGACATATGCATTCACATAATGGTAAACACTATATTTTGATATACTGCATCTATTTTTTTTATTCTTTTTAATGTAATAAAAATATTGTAGGTGCAAAACAATTTGGATGTTCCAAATGTAAAAAGAGGTATTGTAAACAAGAAGATTTGAGAAACCATTTGAATGTTCATAACAATTCTATTACATATACTTGCACAGTTTGTAAAAAAGCTTTCTGCATTTTGACAAATTTGAAACGTCATATGAGAACACATACTGGTGAGTCTGATGATTATTCTAAAGTATATTATTTATCATTAAATCGTACCATTATTTTCAGATGAACGACCATATATATGTGATCAATGCAGTAAGAGTTTCAAAGATAAATCTTTGCTGATACGTCACAAGAGAACTCATCAAAAAGATAGACCTTTCTCGTGTGCTCATTGCAATAGGGTTTTCTTATCCAAGAGTGAATTAAGGCGTCATCTTACAGTACATTCAGGTATATTTTTTATAAAAATTCATCGATAAATAAAAAATAAAAATAAAAATAATAAACTCTCTGACATCTCTTGTAATTTTCATAGAGGACAAACCATTTTCCTGCAAACATTGTCAAACCGTCTTCAGGAGGAAAGATAATTTAAATCGTCACATTAGGCATCATCATACTGAAACTTCAGCAATTGAAATGAATAAATTATTAAATATTACAGAAAATACGAACAATAAGAGGGCATTAAAATCAAAACAAGTGAGCACAAAACATAAACAGAAAGGGAAAAAGAAACCATTAATGATTGATGTTATGTATAAATCTCCCAATAAAGTTTTAATCGGTGTTACTAATTCCCACGAACAAATAAACTCTAGATTAGATTCGATGGGTAATATCACACCAGTTATAAGGACAACCACTGAGCTAAGCAATGCTGTACCTGTTATCAATGGTCCTATTTGTATTAGAAAACCCGAAGATAAGACTGAAAATAATAAGAAGACATTTACATATACAGAACCGATACCACTTGCCGAAGCTGTTGTTATAAACAGAAGAATCGAAGAGAAGTTATATCCTCAAAATATGTCTCGCCATAATTATTTTATGTGTGATTATTTAAGTCATTCTGAGAAACAACAGCAAGCCATAGCACCTTCATCAATGCGTGTTAATCCTAGTATGAAAAGTAATTATTCTAATCTGAATGATCTATCCTCTGAATCAACAACAGGGAGTGAAACCTTTACATGCCAAACTGCAGAATCGAGTAACGTTAATTTGGAAAAAGATTCAATTATTCAACATAAAATGTTTAAAAATAAATCGATCAGATATGACGATTTAAAGGGACATGAAACGACTACATTGGAAAAAACCAATAAAGTTGTTGGTCTTAAAGATTGCAATTTGATTGATACTGAAAAAAAAAAACAGGAACAAGCAAACTGTGTCTCTACTATTAAAAAGACGTATGGTAGATCTTCTTAATACATTTTTGACCAAAAACATGAATCTTTGTCTTTTGTCTATTTAACTTATATTACTAAATTAATATAATTAATAATAGTAAATAATTAATATATATTGATATTATACATAACAGTAAATTTTTTAAAATTTATTGAAAATACTCATTATTTATTCATTAAATGCCTTTCAGTGCTGCAAGAGAATTGAAACTATGCATATGCAAAACCGTACTGTCCAAAAAATATATATTTCTATATAACAAAATAAATGAAAAATAATAAATAATTAATAAATGTTTTCCAAAGGAAAAAAGTAAGTAATAGATGATCGAAATACAATATCGAGTAACAAGTACAATCAACCTATATATTTGTTCATAATCTTATTATCCAAAGTATAAAAGAAAAAGATGTACATCTCTTATCAAATTGATTACATATTACAGTTATGATGATTTACCATGAAATTTTGATTCACTTGTCTATAATAAAATTACATAGGAACGTAATTAAAATCGTAATATTAAAATCATTTTAAATATGAATTAAACTTGTACACTGATGGTTGTCGTATAGATAAATGATATATATATTTAAAAATTAGACAATAAGAAATAAATGAATAAAAAAGAAAGACAAGTAGAAAAAAAAGAAAATGTAATTCATTTAAAATAAAATTTCAAGGTTTACAATAACTTTTACGGATCAAAATTTTAACAGAATTAGCAAAAGAATTAGGAAATAAACTGACAAGAGAATACAATTGATTGATCTTTCATATTTCTCAATATTTTGTTCTGTATATTATAGAAATTTATAAGGAAATATATTTATTTTCATATATATATTGTTTAATAATAATAATATAAAAAAAGAGAGCGCTTTAGTTATGTTTTGCTTTTCTGTTTGTCGAGGTAGTATGCCAAGTTAATCTTTCTTGATAAAATTGAATAACAATTTGTGGACACATAATGTTAGCTTCTTTTGCAGGTACTAAATCTGATTCATCCGTTCCTTTCCTATACAAATATAAAATTTTGTGTATAACATTCATTTTGTTGTCACAACATTTTACTTACATCTTATATAGAGATAAATATTAAAATACAGAAGTAAAAAGAAAGAGAAAAAGAAAGAAACAAAGAAAGAAACATGTGAAACGAAATTAGCTGACCATTTCATTAAAAACATTAATTCACCACTGGAATCAGTTGCTCCGATAATACTATCCGGTTCCAATTTTCTGTTAAATCCATGCAATGGTTTTGTATTACCTATTTGCTTTTTTTGATTCATACTAAAATACAGTAAAAATAAGCGATGTTAAGCAACATGTATGAATAATATAATAATTATTAAACGCACCTGTGGACAAAAGTTAAGGACAATGGGGAAGAAAGTATCACAAAAACAATGCACTGTGGAAGACAATACTTAACGGATAAAGTTACTATTATTAATTAAACAACATTCAATATCGTTTAATTTGAATCTTATAAAAACTGCATTTAATTACCAAGAATGTTTTTCTAGGACGTTTGGAAGACAACTTTGTTTTTCTGTCATATAGACTCTCCCGCGTGAGTAAAGTACCAAAGTTTTCAAGAAGTTGGCGCTGCGATTGTTAATCTCTATTGGTCAATGCAACTGCACGTGGATATATCAACCAATGAGATTATAATTAAAAGAGGAAGCTTACGCGAAGGATATCGTGACTTTTCATGCTTGCATGTGTGCAAGCCGATTGTAGCCGAGTCTGAACGAAAATAACCGATGTACAATGCACCGATGATGGATCTGTCGATCAGTCGCGATGTATGCATTTCATCAGTAATAACAGTTAAGTGCAGTGGTAGTAATTGCACTAGGAACACGAAATTGATTAATGCTATGAATCGTGTATGTACGTGTCATATAAATTAGTGTTTAGTGCGAAGTATAAAAAGACGTTCTGTCGTCTTAAGGGGAGAGTTAGACAAGCAGACAGACAGTAGGGAGAGAGAGGGAGGAAAGATAGAAAGAGAAAGATAGAAAGTAAAACTTGCGAGGGATACGCGTCTCGCGCACGAGCTTTTATCGTTCGTTTGATTTCGGTGGATAAAAAAGAACGTGTGTTCAAAGAAAACAGAAATAAAATAAATATAATAAATATCTAAATCTCAAAGGGGTTGTATCGGATTAAAGGGGTTATGAAAGGAAAGAAAGATTTAATAAAAGAAGGGGTGAAATAAGTGATAAAAATGTTAGTTGAGAAAGCGAATAAGAAAGGCTGAAGAGAGCAAAGACCGGTCGATTGGTGGTGTGGTGGTGGTGGTGGTGGTGGTCGTCGTCGTGTTGTGTCGCGCGCGCGAGACAAGAAACAAAAGAGAGAAGGAAAGAAGAAAGGAAAGAAGGAAGAAAGAAGGAAAAGGAGGAGGAGAGGAAGCGCTTTGTGACTCCCCGAATTGGAGGACGGCCCTCGACGCCGTTGGCAAAGCGTGTATCTTCCTTGCAGCGAAGAATGGGTGAGTACGCGGTACGAAGTCTCCATTGATTATAAATAAAATCTTTCTATTTAAGGCCGTGGGGCGTGTCTTTCTTGGAAATATGAGTTCAGAAAGAAAATAGACTTTCTAAAGAAATTCTAGGATTCTATTCCTTTTTCAGATATTCCATGCACTTGTCCAATGCATTTTCTAAGTTTTCTTTTCACTCTTCTATTTTCTTTCTCATAGGTTTATTTTTTTTTCTTTTTAATCTTCTATATATATATGTATATATATACATATATATGTGTATATGTGTGGCGTGTGTGTATATAATATATTAATAAACAATATTGTAAATAATGTTATTATACAGTGTCAAGTATTTTAAATTTTCTCATAGTGTAGAATTATTTTTAATTAAGAATGCAATTGTAATAAATAGATGCACAAGGAGGAATGTCGCGCAACGTCGGTCCTGGACTTTATGAATTTCTTATGGAGGCTGAATTACAACAGTATTATCCTGGTATACGGGGTACGTTTATCTAGATTTTGTTGATCTTTTATCTAAATTTAAGTATATTTTATATTAATCTGTTTCTTATCGTTTAGGGGACCTAAAAGTTCAAACGACAGCGCAATTAAAATATGTAACAGAAGAAGATTTAAATGCTATAGGAATGAGTAAGCCTGAAATGAGACGTTTGAAAAAATATTTTCAAAAACACTTTCCGCAAAATTATCTTTCCAAATTTAAGAAGATGTTATTACCAAAGCGCGAAGAACAAACACCAAGCGCTCTTGGCATGTTACCAGAAGAAAGACAAGATAGGCCTCCTGTACGTGTTCCTAACAAACATATGATTCCTGCTGATGCGATAATAGTGAATAAGGAATTGGGAACTGGAGAATTCGGAGTTGTGCAACAAGGTGTATGGACAAATGATGGTGAAAGAATACAAGTTGCAATAAAATGTTTATCAAGAGAAAGAATGCAGAATAATCCTATTGAATTTTTAAAAGAAGCTGCCATTATGCATTCTATCGATCATGAACACATAGTTAGACTATATGGTGTAGTTTTGGATACAAATTCATTGATGCTCGTAACAGAACTAGCCCCCTTGCGTTCCCTATTGGAATGTTTAAAAGAACCAAGTTTACGAGCAAGTTTTCCTGTTCTCTCATTGTGTGACTTTGCTGTCCAAATAGCCGATGGGATGCAATATTTGGAAGCTAAGAGACTAATACATCGAGATTTAGCAGCTAGGAATATTCTCGTGTTTTCTAAAAACAAAGTTAAGATATCAGATTTTGGATTATCTCGAGCACTTGGCGTTGGTAAAGATTATTACCAAACAAATTTCAATGTTAATTTAAAATTACCAATTGCATGGTGTGCTCCCGAATGCATATCCTATTTGAAATTTACATCAGCAAGCGATGTATGGGCATACGGTGTAACACTTTGGGAAATGTTTAGTTATGGTTTCCAACCATGGGCTGCATTGACAGGTCATCAAATTTTGGAAGCTATTGATGAACCTAATTTTCAAAGACTCGAACAACCAGAATGTTGTCCGAAAGATTACTTTTCCTTGATGCAGCAATGCTGGCAACACGATCCATCCAAACGGCCAAAGTTTTCTGAATTAATTAATTTATTGCCAGATTTAAAACCAGAACAAGTTCAAGCTGTACAGGACAGTACAGAAACAGGACAATTAGTTTATAGACAAGGTGATATAATAACTGTGTTGGATAAAGGAAGCAGCAATACCATGTGGAAGGGTGTTTTAAATAATGGAAAAACAGGAATATTTAATCCTGCACACACAATAGCTTATCTCGGTTCGAATTTACCGAGCAACAAGCCAGGAGAATTTACAAGAGGCGATGGGAAAAATGCATTTTCATCTCAACGAAGAAAAATTCGTACAGATATGATATCTTCCCCTCAAGGCGATTTAAAACATACTGGTCACGTTGGACTGGATGGCGCATATTTTGGTGATATCAGTTTTCTCGGTGGCAAGTATCCACATTTACCGCGTCAAGTGGTAACTCCATATAAACCCCAAGAAGATGTTACGGATAATTCTAGTCAAATTTTAAATCAAGATGTAAGAAGCTTAGAAATAGACAGAGAAACTTTGAGGGATAGCAGAGCCTTGCAACAAGAACAGCAAAGTAAACATGGTAGTTTTTATGTTCTTTCTTTTCTTTTCTATTTTATTATTTATTTTTTATATAAGGAATATTAATATCACTTTTTTATTTTTCTTATACTTTTTATAGACAATTTATGGTCAGACGTTAATTCCGAGATTTGCCAAATGGGAAATATTTCCAATGCAAGCAAACAATCTACTGTTGTATCATCCAATACGATTGGCAATATCGAAAGCCTTGGTGCCGATCACGAATATCATGAGATTAGTGACGAAGAAAATCAAGATAGTCCATTAAGATTTGACAAAACGCTTAACTTTGATTTTGGTCCAAGTCTTTTAGCTGAGATGGATCAAATGTTTAGGTCTCTAGGTAAATAAAATGTACATTTTGAATATTGAGTATTCCCTTAATGATTTTTAACACATATATTGTGATATCATCATAAAAGGTTCTTCAGCTCCTCCACCACCACCTGGACATCCTTTGCCTACCGAACATGAATCGAGTAATGCAAGAAATGAACTTCGAGAAATACAAGCTAAACAATGCAGCAAGAAGAAACAAGCGACCGTGAGTCCAATAAATGTACAGTAATCTTTTATTATTTACAATCATACGTTTGTTTGTACTTTGTACATTAGTGATCATTAATATTTTATTATTTATTATTTGCTGCTCTTTTTATATATCTATATATATTTATATATATATACATATTAGTTTGTATAAATGTTTATATATATATATTTAGAATTATTTTTTAATTTGATAATATTTTTACTTGTACATTTATTATCATTTATATTTATCCACATTTATATTTATGTCTGTATTTAGGTTTATACATATTTGTATTATTTATATCTTACCTGTATTGTGAGAACACATTAGTTAAGGAATAAAACTTAATAAACTTAACTAGAAGAAGAAGTCAAGGAAAGGTTTGACGTAAAGAAAGAAAAAGGAAAAAGGAAAGAAAAGATAAGAAAAGAAGGAAAAGAGTAACATTTGTTCGAGTGTGTATCAAAAACTGATATTAATATCTTTCGCGGATATTAACGTGTTTAATATCAATATCGTACAGTTATAGTGCAGTCTTCTAAAGAATTGAGATCTAAAATCTAAAGATCAAAAAGATATCAAGTCAGTAGAGTTGACTGATGGAATCAGTAAACGTTTATCTTATATTTAGGTGAAGCCTATCTCTGCAGCCGATCAGAAAACACTCTACTCGGCCATTGCTATGGCACAGGAATTGACAGCACGTTCCATGACAGATCTTGAACATCCACCGGAGTCTCCCCGAACACCCGCCAGTCCTTCAAGACGCAGAAAATTCTCTTTTAAGTTGCCACATCAACACAGTCCCAAACCAGACAGACGACACTTTTCAGAAGAAGCTGCCAGAATACCTGACATGCAGGTACATTGAAACAATTTTTGTTTGGTTACTGGTTACCTCTATACTACTCGTATTATGAGAAAAATTTACACACAACATTAAAAAAAAAAAACAATAAGGTTTCATTCTAAATGAAGGAAAAGAGGAATTTATTCTAATCACTTTGTTATATTCTATTCCTTCGTTTCGTTTTAAACAAAACTACACAGTTTTACATACCAATATCACATCACCACCACCACCACCAAGTCCATCGGATTAACGAATATTGAAAAGAAATATCGATTGTCACGTTTTAACATTCTATTTTTCAATTTTACATTTCACTATTCTCTCGATTGTTAAAAACTGTTATGGAACAGAGTTAATTCCTGCTGTCACTTTTGCTCAAAAAGTAGGTATGCATTACTAATCTTTTAGCTAGGAACATTTTTAATTAAACTATAAGTAATATATATATTTATACATATATATATTTAACTTTTTCTCAACGAAACTAATACTACTTCATTTCTCCTCTCCCCCCTGTCCTTTCTAACTCATCGTTTAATTTGTCACATTTTACATTTGTTTCTTTCTTATCGCTTATTTATTTATTTAATTAATTAATTATTTATTTATTTATTTATTTATTGCATTGCCGATTAAAAAAATCCTTTATTTGTTTGTTTCTTTTTGTTCTCTTTAATTTTCCATATTACATCTTTCGAATCTTCGTATAAATATGATTTTTCATGTGAAATTACGCTTGTCTCGTAACATTGTTCTAATTCTGCATGATTCTATCTAATCTCTTGTTGTATCTAACGAACTAACATAATCTTATGCATGCGACAATATAAAGTGGCTATGTTCAAGTCTACAATCACTATCTTCTACGGTATCTAGTATAGAATCTCTTGGTGCCCCATCAACTTTAAAACTGCCTTTGTGGGATAAAGCCTCGGCAGAGTTTTGCTTTGCTAAATCCCGTGAACTTCTAACGAAACCAAGTGCCTGGACCTCTTACATGGATATTGAATTTGATGCCCATATATTGGACAATGCAGCAACTAAACAGAATCTCGTAAAATCCAGCGAATTCCTCGAGCATGGAAACAGGAAAAGTGGTTACAATTGCGAAAATGCAATCGACATTAATCCTAATCATAATCTTAAGCAACACAACGGCACGGTATCCTTCAAAATGGAAAATCCTAATCTCGATTTCCCACGAGAACCTAAACGGATATCAACCAGTTACGTTGATCGCTATTTCGAACAACCGAAATATTTTGACGAGGACAGTGCTCTGAGTTGTTCCGTCGACAAAGCTTTGCGTTTCACAGATGAGAAATCCGATAAATTTGATAAAATGAATAACTTGGAACATTCCGTTAGATCTTCTTCTTACGTTAGCAATATCCAAGAACAAACTTCTATGATAAGTAACAGATCCGGTCAACAGTTATATCAAAATAACAAAGTTGATAATTGTGAACAAACTTTGCAAGATAAGACAAATTCGACTAATTTCGAAATGGCTCGAGAAGAAACGCCAAATTACGACTTGTTAAAGGAGAAAACGGCGAATCTTGATTCTTCTCGCAATAAACCAGTTAAGTTTGAATCTCAAAGAGAAAAGATAAGTAATCTTGACGTTGGCACGAGACCGAAATTGTCGAGTTCTTTTAGTGATTCTTCCAAAGTTAATATAACAGAATTTACGAAGAAGATTGACATAGCGAAAGCAAGAGCTGCTAAAGTTACTTTTGTACCCAGATCGAATCATCCTGGTCAAGAAACTAAGAGCATAGTTTATGGTTCATCCGATAGTATAAAAACAAATGTACAAACTGGTACGTCAGATAATAATTCGACTGCGAGAGGAAACGTGGAAACTGTAAGAATAAATATTCAAAGTTTTCGTAAAATCGAACAAAATCAAAATGGTTTCGATTCGTTTCCGTTCGTAATATCGAATAATCCGTTGTTTATCGCCGAGTCAGAGAAAAAGGAATCGCCGATATACAGCAGTTCGGAAAGTTTGCGCGTTAATTTTCAACGCCTTAGACGAAAGTCCGATGCCGAGGCCAATAGTCAAGTTGAATTGAGTAGCAAAATACTTGCGGAAAAATATCAACGAGAGGTATCGGGCTTGGAGAGCGTTAAAAGTTATCTTGACTCGAAGAAGGGTCAAGGATTGAGCTTAGGATTGGGAAAGTTGACGCAAAATATGATGCAACTTGGAAAGAATATCAGTCAAAATTCGATGTCTAATAAAGGGATGTTATCAAATATGAGAAAGTTAGATTTGCCTAGTCAATCTCAAGTACCTTTTCGTAACTTGAACATTCCACTTCAAAAACCAAAGCACTTGGATTTGAATATACCGTTGCAAAGTCAACAACAATCGAGTGCTGTTAAATTGAATATAACGCAGAAAACTAATCCACCTACGAGTCCTAGTATACATCAACATATATTGGAACCACCAAAATTGTATCAAAACGAAACAACTAGGAAGGAATTACCAAAGTCTGAATTATTAGTAGAAAAACTGACAAGCAATACAAATGTTTATCGACACAGGACTTCATCTCTATCCGAGAATCGAAAACCACCTATAAAGAACGTACGCAGGTCGTTCCATCCTCGAAACGATTCTAGCGAGGATTCTGATTCGGTTTCTCATTCAGAGACAGATATAAGAAGTCGTTTGCGTTACAAGCGTCGTAGCAAAAAAGTCCCACACAGTTTGAGGCTGAATTTTAAGAACAAAGGACAATTTCTTCATCCAGATTCGGCTCGAGGATTTTCCTCGGTGGAATTGTGTGGGAAATCACCGCCACCTTCTACGAGTTTCCTCAATTCCTTATCCCCGCCCTTCTCTTCTAGAAACAACTTACTTTCCTGGCCTGAAAGTGCACCGAGTTCTAGCTTAACTTTTACGAGTAATTCCGATTTAGATTCGGACACCAGTTCAGAATATCCCGAATTTACTAACGACATATTAACCTTCCCTCCTTCTCCAGCTCCTTAAACAACGAAGGAGCACGAAAAATCGAGTCGCACGGTGGACAACAAAAAAATGCATAAAACTTTATTCGGGAAAAAGGAATCATGAAACATATATATATACTTATGCGTAGCGTACATAGCATGCTTGCATGTTCTTCTTTTTTATCTCGATCGTTGAACAATATTAATCGGCTTTATCGATGAGACTTTATACCATTTTTACCTTATGAAACTTAGGTATAACGCGCGTTATAACCATTATCTAAGAACGATGGTTACAATAATAATAAGTATATACATCCAACACACACACACACACATACACACTCGATATTGCACGAAAACCAATCCTTCTTTGTGTCTTTGCGCATTGTGTCGCACGTACCTTAATCCACTGCAGCAGTTGCATTCGTTATGCTGCACAAAGTATCTTATCTTATTATTCGTTTACACGCACACAAGCACACACGAACGGTTCGTTCAAGGAGTCCAATAAATAGCACGATTCGTTGAAAATAGATAAATATCATTTAATTCATTATCATCATTATCTTCTTATTATAGTTCATCATATTCTTCTTCTTCTTCTTCTTCTTCTTCTATCATAGTTACCCTCATTTATGATTTTTGTTTTTAATTTTCGTTTTTCTTCTCTCCCCCGAATCTATTCCCATCCCGCGACTTGTTTAGGCGACATTGTCGGAGGAAGCCAAGGAGGTGTACAACAGCTTGGTCGAAACACCAGCGATCGAAAGTGCACAAGACACGAATCCTCTTCGTATGTTGCGTTCGGGATTGCCTGTAGTGAGACCAAGAGTTCGTGGTAACAAGCACGCCACCCTTGGCCACAGTATTTCCCATTCTGAGGATACTACTTCGGAACATGCGTTTCAATTTATGGATATGCATCATGGGGGAGCTAAAACATTGCCAAAAATTCGAGCACCGCCACCTCCTCATCTACCACCTCCCTTACCTCAAACGCGAAGCTTGGAGAGACATCATTCGGCTTTGGAGATCGAAAATAATCAAAATCAAAATAACGTCGATGAAAATCCAATACCATTGCCGCCACGCGATCGCTCGAAAACGTTACAACCGAAATCGAGCTTGCCGAGACATCAAAGGAAACATCCTTTGATTATACCAGGTGGAGGAGTGACGAGGACACTCGCTAAAATGGCTGTTACTACGCCACCTGCTTTGGAGGATCAAGTTGACGGTCATTTTCTTCTCCAATACGCGAATACACCGACCACCAGTTCTTCCACGTTGCAAGAGAGTTATTCACCGGAAGTTTCGACCAATAGGTAAGGGGGGCGGAAAGGCAAATCATTTACTTTAGAAGTAATAAATACAAAGTTTGTTTTTTTTTTTTTTTTTATTTATTTCATTGCGTTTCTTATTTTATTTTTTAGTCCGGAAGAATTCGAACAACGTATCGAATCTGAACTTGCCGCTTTGGATTCTTTACCAATGGACGAAAGTAAAATGCATCGTTGCAGCGTTATTTCGGAAGACCTACTCGAGTTTTCTGACAATCTGATCGATGCCGATGATACAGGATCATGTCCTGAAACTGTATCGGAAGAAACTAACGATTCCGCAGATATTCGCATACGAAGAAAGATTAGTATCGAGTCGAAAAATTCTCAAAAAAGTATTGCTTCGAAATCTCTCGACGAAGAGACCGAGAGTGGTGGTAGCGGTTTGCCCAATAGAAATTCTATTACGTCTAGTTCGAGCAGATCGGAAGATTCTTCGAGTTTATCTAATAAAAATGAATCTCCAAATATAACTTTAATATCGAGGTCACAGGCTATGAGTAATAGACGAGTAGGAGGAGGAGGAGGAGGGGGAGTATCATCATCGAGTTTTCAAGATAAACCTTTCAACTGTACCCTTCAGATAGAACTACCTTTTCCAGAGGAATCCAGCGTGACCACCACCGCTACCACCACCACCACCACCACCATCAGTACGACGACACAGTACAATGTAAATATAGGTAAATCATCTGGAGGATCTGAGAATACAAATCGCAAGGATCATTCGAGTTGTTGTAACAACGACAACTACCTAACGACCAATACGAAATCGTACGATCGTGAAGAATCGGATAAATTGGTAGTTACGCGTACTACCAGCGACCTGTCCCGACAATCCGATCACGTTTCCTGCGAGGATCTTTTAGAATTTGCTTGCGACGGTCCTAACGCACGTAGAACTCGTGGTCCACGTAACGGGGAACAATCGGACGAAGTGAGAATAATGTTAAAGGTATTGCATGATCAATCGACACCCGAGTCCTGTATAGCGGCATTAAATGTCACCGGTTGGGACGTATTGACAGCGATTAAACTCGAACGTCTTCAAGGATTGTTGAAAAGGGAAAATAATTTTGTTGGCCTCGAGGATTGCAAATTGATGCTCAGCCAATGTGGTGGTGACGTTGTTAAAGCTGCCGCCTTGTTACGAAATACCGATGACACTGCTGCGGTTTAGGTTTATTTAAAAGTTTCTTTTTTTTTTTTTTTTTTTTTTCTTACAAATAATCGATAGCGCGAGATTTTTATTTATTTCGTTTGAAGACTTTTATTTCTTTATATATATAAAAAGTGACACGAAACTAATATTTTAAAATGGACACGCTTCGTCAAATATTTATCGGCGCGATTATTTAAGAATTTTGAAATAATTCGTTTCAAATCGCGTGTTTCAAAGTTTAATCGTCTATTTTTATTCTTTTCTTCTTCTATTTGTTTAATAATTATTAGCAAAGTAAAATTATTCATTTTTGTACTACATTGATACGATGTGATATATTTTGCACAATAAGAAGTAATCTCGTCAAGTGATCGGCACTATCATTAACATTTATAAATGATAAATCTGAATATATATATATATATATATATATATTTAGATTATTCTATGCATTTTCCATGTATCTTCCGTTTGAAAAAGGTTTAATAATAGGAGAGCGAAAGTTTTATAAGGAAAGTTTGCACTCGGCCGTTAAATTAAACCTTACGTAACTAATAATTGTAGGAAAATTTGTAGCATATTACGCTTCGAGGCGCATATAAGTCTCTCTTTCTCTCTCTCTCTCTATATATATACATATATCTCTTTTTATATACTTATGTATAAAATATGTATATTTTATTTTACACAAATGCGAATCGTTCGCAAACCAAAACGATTAACTGATTCGTTTAATAAATTTTCGTAAAATTGAATACCAAAGTCATTGATCGGCGAATAATACATTTCTATTTAAATTAATTAAACAAATGTTTTTTTACGATAATTATTTATTAAATATTATAAACAATGTATATTATATATAAATATAATTTAAATATTTTTATTTAATTGCAGTTAACCGATTTGGTTTGAATGAACGATTTCTCTCAACGGTGTAAGACAAAAATATCCGTTTTAGTCATTTTGTTCTCTCGCGTATTAAGAAAACACGAGAAAGGAATAACAATAATAATAATAATAATAATAATAATAATAATAATAATAATAATAACAACAACAACGCGACGAAGTATTTTACAAGACAATCAGTTTTTTTACGTATCGATACGTTTAAAAATATTTGCGCTGAAGATTATATTAGCGCGTATAAACACAAAAAAAGGGAGACTGTGTGCATGTTTGTAATACGATAATTATAAGAAAAAGCTCGTTTTGAATTTCTTCGCGTGTAGAAAAGAAATTTGTTTATTCGTTGATATACGTAATTTTTGATACGAAGATAAATGTATTTTTTCTATCCCCATTTTTCAGTGTTGACGATGACGATGTTGCGTGGGGCCTACCGCCAAATAATATTTTCTCTCTTTGCGATTTTAATTATGATTATTATTACTATTTATTATTATTGTTCTCGATGTGATTGGCGGTGAACGAAGAGAGAGAAAAAAAAAAGAAAAAGAAAGAAATAAAAATAAAAAAGAAGGAATGAAATATCGAGAGAAATATATTTCGTAACTTGTTTCGTGTTCGTTTAAGAAAAAGAGAGAGAACAATAAAATGATTTTCTACTCGTGAATCTAACTAACAACCAACATCTAAACTTTTTCTTCCTTTTTAAAACACCGTCAATAACGTCGAATAGAAGAATAGCGCGAAATTACAAAATAAAAACTAAAATAACGAATGAACGAACGAACGAAAGAACGAACAATAATAAAATATGTAAGAAGAACGGTGAACGTTAATAAGGATAACGAGAAGAAACACCACGTTCCTAATTTTGTTTTCTATCGAAATGCAATCCATGTTTCTCACATAATCACGCGAGACGTTGATTAATGATTATTATTCTTCGACTTTTAATCAGTATGTGTATATATACATATATACACTCTCGCGATTATAATAATGATAATATACAATAATTATAATATTATTATATATAATATATGATAATCATAATAGAGTTCATTTTGATACGCGTTAATCGTTGATATGCGTATGTTCGACGATTATTTAACTAAAGAAAAGCCGTTGTGATAAGCTGCATTAAAACTCGGGATTTCTGCGTGAAAACTAAAATATAAGTTAAACATATATATATATATATATACATATATTCTTCTTTTTATATACAACGTCTATGTACCGGGTGTCATAATTAGTGATACAAGCGAATCAGTAGGAGGAATTGACTAATTAAAAAATTAACAATAAGTCGAAAGCACAAAAATACTCTCACCAAAAAATATATCTCCAATAGAGTAAGATAATAAAATTCTTTATCTAACTGAAACTGTAAGTGTGTTTCGCGGTATGCTTGACAAATTTGATCAATTGATATTTTATTTTCCATAAAACAAAAACCCTTGCACGAACAAATATTTCATTTATAATTTTGCAACAACTTCGTTCGTTTGTAACATTAGTTACATGACACTCTGTATATTTCATTTTTTATAACTGCAACAATTTTTTGCGAACAACTAGTAGTTAAGCTACATTTGCACGCGTACCTACGAACAGGAAAACAAATATTAAGAAAGAAAAAAAGAAAGGAAATGAAATGAAATGAAATAAAGCCACGCATCGTTATCCCGAAAGGAAAGTTTATATACTTTCGTAATTTAAGTATCGGTAAGAAAAGTCGATATTTTATAATTTATACATATTTATATATATATATATATTATATATACATATACAAAAAAAAATATATATATATAATATATATCATTAAGAGAGAAAAAAAAAAAACAAACATCCGCGATTTTACTATTATAACAAATGAACGAGTTTTTAATAATTAACTCGTATCATTTCAACGAAGCCAAAAAAAACATCCCACGTAATAAACCCCATCGTTCGTCGATTGACGTAATAAGTAATTTCGAAGGATTACTTGTTAGAAACGTTAGATAATAATTGATAAGCGATCTGTAAAGAAAGTTAAGCGCACTTCGCGGTGTGTTTTCACGCTTTCTTTATTTTTTCTAATTTGTTCTTTTTTATTTTTTTTTATTTTTTTTTTTTTTCAATTTTTTTTCTTTTCAAGGGCCACACTGTACTTACGAGCGAGCCCTATATATAGCGTTAGGAATACCATCGATCGAAAATAAAAAACCGATTAAAAACTTATTGTTAATTATTAATACGAATTATTATTATATACTATTTATCGAGAGATTATTGCACGCTCTTACGATTAGCAGCAATACGAAGAGAAAAATAATAATAATAATAATAATAATAATAATAATAATAATAATAAAAACAATAGAGAAAGAGAACGATAGAAAAGTATGGAAAAAAAGAAAAGTAATTAATTGTTTTACACATACATTTAAATAAAACAATTATTTATACGTTTTTAATCGTGTGTCGAATAAGTTTTTTTTTTTTAGTGTCGTATATATAATTATAATAAATTAAAGTATTATATTTTTTTAATTGGCAATTTTTTTTCTTCCTCTCTCTCTCTCTCTCTCTCTTTTTGTTTCTTTCTTCTCTCTTTCTTCTCTCTTTCTCTTTCTCTCGAAGTCTTTTTGAAAAAAAGGAACTTAAAATAAGACTTGATCGGTATTCGTCACCGTGATATCAAAAATGTTGTAAATGACTGCAGGAATTTCGTATTTTTGCATAATTTCGCAATCCGAAATTAGAAATAAGTTCGTGCCCTTGTTGTAATCCCTTTTTGATACGCGATCTTACACTAATTGTAAGGTTTTTAACATATTTGTAATACGTCTCTCTCTCTCTCTCTCTTTCTCTCTTTCTCTCTTTCTTTCTTTCTCTTTCTTACATTTACATATACTATCTCGTTCTTTCTATTTCTGTGTCGTCAAAGTGCGACGAACACGATAATGTTTTATAACTGCTGTATTTGCAACGATAGATATATAATGATATATATATATATATACACACGTTATGTATATACAAACATACACACACACACATACAAACACATATATATATATATATAAATACGCATGACTTCGTAAATCAAGATATACAATTTAATCCTTTCATCTTATTTTCAGTGTTAGTTGGGTGGGGGTGGGGGAGGGAAATTCATGTTGAAAACTTTTCCAAATTTTGTTCTCGTTTTAAAGTTTCTTATTTTTTGTGTTTTAATTTAATATTTTATTACTGTTACTACGAATAATAATAATAAGAAGCTTTCTATCTCTCCCTCTCTCACTCTATTGATTTTTTCCTAAAAAACAATAATAAAAGAATCGTCAAATTTTGACGAGAAGAAAAGAAAATGTGTGTGTGTGTGAGAAAATCTATTAAAAGATATCACGGAAAAATCAAGAAGGGAAGGGGTGAAAAGAAAATTCTTTTTGTCACGTTCACCATGTGAACACGTTCTCTCGTTGCACACCACACAAGAGAGGTAGTTGCTTTTTATTTTATTATTATTTCCGTCTAGAATATCTCGGATAGTTTAGTTAGTTGAAAGATCGAGTTAGTCGAACGCGAACAGCAGGAGCACATGCTCCTATATTAAAGATCGTTATTATTTTGTTTAAATTAAACAAAAGAATCATTCGTTTGAAAAATTATTATATATATTTATTTATTTTAAAAAATATACTTCTCTCTATAATTGTAAAATAATTACAAAAAAAAAAAAAAATAAGACGACGATACGCATTCATTTGCGAATTACGATCATCCTCTATCATCTCGACCCTGAGCTCGCGACCTTGTATAAAAGTGAATCGTGAAGAATAAAAATAAGAAAGAAAAAGAAAAAGATAAATCAAAAACAGTTTCAAAGATACGTAGAATCGATCGTAATGATTTACTAATGGGAAAGAAGAAAAAAAAAAAGGTGGTCTCGTTGGAAGGAGTAGTAGTAGCAGCAGCAAGCAGCAAAGGACGTAGAAGAACTGTTAAAAAAAGGATCAAGATCGATGGTATTGATGATGAACCAGTTTTAAAACGATATTATTCGTATACAAAGAAAAAAAAAGTGTACTAAAGAAAATTTAGTTACTTTTAATTGATCCTAATTTTGTGGGTTTTACAAACAAACATTTTTCTTTAAACATTTTGAAATATAATAATACAAACCTGTATATAATATTAACTTGGCCGATTTGAAATACGATTAGAGATCTCGTTAACGTCCTTGAAGTATTACACCTTTCTTTTCGCTCGATTTCCAACGAACGAGAGGAACCCACCACTGAACTGAGAATAGTATAGTATGACTTTGGTTTTGTTCGTTCACGCTCACGTTTTACGCTCACTAATTATTCTGTTTCTCTCTCTCTCTCTCTCTCTCTCTCTCTCTCTCTCTCTCTCTCTCTCTCTCTCTCTTTTTCTCTCTCTCACACACCATTTCTCTTTGATAAATATTCCACTCTTACGTATTACCTCGTTATTTCCTTTCGTTCGTATGAAAATCCGAACGCAATTCTGTAAGAGATTGCAATGCACGATAAGACACACGTTAGATTCAACTATTTTTATGCTATTACATCTATCTCACGGAAGTTCCAAACCTTCTTTCTATTTAAAATGTATTTCTCGGTTATGAAATCGATGAGTGAACTAACCAACGAACAACCCCCCTTGGACCCCGCCCCCTTCACCCTTCCAACAATTTAATTAATGTACTCGCGTAATCATTTTTTAAATCGTTACGTTACGTTTCGGTTAATGCATTTAACGATCATTCTCGTATATGTTTCTATTTCTTTTTTATTTCATTTTTATATTTAACTTTTTTTATATATATATATATTGTTTTTAAATAGCTTCCTCATAGTGCATGCAAATTTTGTCTACATACTTTCACCATACCTATTCGAGACCTGATCCCTTTCCTCTCTTTCTCTCTCTCTCTCTCTCTCTCTCTCTTTTTCTCTTTCTTTATCCTCTTTGCATTCTTCGTGAAACGAGCACGCGTTCGTGTATATCAGTTCAGTTTTGTTTCATTGACTCTTTGAAGAATAGTATTTTTTTGAAAATATATTTTATTTATTTTAATTGTCCTTAAGAGAATTTATATTGAAATAAATTAATATATAAAAAATACGCAGTGTTATGTAAGCCATTATGTTTCAATTAATTTTAATTTTTCTCTTAGTTGATGTGTAAAAAATATTTCTATCATCTATATTTAGACATTAAAAATATGGGAAATTAAAATCGTGTGCTTCAAAGAGTTAAATGACTTGAAATAATAATAATAATAATTAAATTGTGCATCAATGGAGTATCCTTCGAATTAGATTTATCTTTCATAGAAATGATCTTACACGACAATCCTTATTACGTGTTTTATAACACGATATTATGAACAATGTGGGAAATAATTATGCCGAAGAACAATGTGATTGCTCGCGATAACAACGATTGTTGTTCCTAACGGTTCTGAAATTAATATAATAATGGGATGATTTAATTTTTTCTTTGTTTTTCCTTCAATAATTAAATATTAACTTCGGTGTCATTTATTTTCATAAATATTATATTAATATTTCCCCATTTTTACGAATAAATTTTTAAATCGTTCAACAACAACAACAACAACAACAAATCTTCATATTTAATTTTCCATCACGAGATTCGCGTTCCTATTCGCAAATATGTAGAACGAAACCTCGACATACATTTATTCTATGAACAGTTATTACCCTTACATTCAACGCGAAATAAAACATGCAAATTTAACGTTTAACTCAAATTTAATGCAGGGTTAGAGTGTCGTTTGACGGTAATCAGTGAAGCGTAAGTGAAAAATTGTCCAGTATATTTTTCCTGCTCATCGTGTCGGAACTAATTTATCTATAGATAATATTTTCTAAGTATAATGTATATCAATGATTATTACGTCGAGTGTGTGTTAATATTGGGTTACTTATAGAAAATATTAATTAAATAATACAACAACAACAACAAAACCATATTTAAGATAACATTTATAAATTTTTCAATATATTCATTGAGAAGGGGTTGTCTTTAAAAATTCGTATCGATTTAAAAGAAATATTAAAGCATATAAATATATTGGACACAATTTTAAATTTTTCTAATAAATTCCGATGTATATTTATTTCGCGTAAAAGATATTCAATTATTCCTAAATATCCTGGGGTGTTCCTTTTTTTTAAATAAATCATCATCATCATCCTGTAAACCTTTCGTAGAAGCTAATATAAATCAGCAGAAACATTCTTGATAATAAATCGAAAATGAACAAATAATAAATATATTAGAAAAATAATTTGAAGATATTGTAGTGTGAATGAAAGTGGTGGGAAGGAAAGCTCATTCTGAGTGTTTTGGTCAGACGATCGTATTGCATGGCAACAGCTCATGGCTTTAACGATGGTCCTGCGATGGTGGTTCGCCAGTTCCTAGCGGTCAGTGCAACATAACTGCACTTGTGCTTCTCTGCACCGGACGGACTTCTGAAGTTCACGACATTACCGTACGTCTTCCTGCGCGAGATCTTCGATCTACGTCTTTCCCTCTTTCTCCTCTCTCTATCTTTTTTCTTTACTTTTTCACTCTTTCACACATACACACACACACACACACGTATACACACACTCGAATATCAACCAGATGCAACAGGTTGCGCCTGGCGGCGATTGAATGCGCGTGCCTTAACAGGACCGTCTCGTATCTCTTCTCGTTTATGTGTTTGTCTATATGCACTTACTTACACACATACACATATATATATCTATACTTGATCGCATTTCCGCTTTACCAACAACAACTATATAAACCTTCCTCGAATATCGATTTATATGTAGGTATTTCTTTTTCTTAATCAATTGATAGATCAATTGGATCATTTTTTCTTCTTTTTTTGTTTTTTTTGTACTCCAACAACAAAACACATACACACACACTTATATTTACTTCTATCCAATTTCATTTCCTTTCCTTTCCTTTTTATTTCTAATTCCTCTTCCTCTTCTCTTATTTTTCTTCTTATTATCAAGAGTCTATGAAAATTGATCTGGAATGGAAAAAGAAAATAAAAAAAAACAAGAGAGAGAAAAAAAAACATCGTAGAGAAAGTTAAAGAGAGTCAGATCAAGGTAGAGAGAGGAGATGATAGAGGGGTGGAGTGGAGTGGAGGGGAAAAAAAAGTGAGTTAGAAGTAAGTTGTTAGAAATGATGACGAGGGTAGGGTGGGGGGACCTGGGGGGAGAACGGAAAAAATAGTTCGAGGAATGAGACAGACAGACAAGCCGTTTGAAGTAAAGACGACGATGATGATGATGATGATGGCATCGTCATTTTTGTGGGGGTCATTATCACCGAGTGCATTCGTGTTCTCGTCGTAAGATCCACCACCGAGCTTACCAGCAAGCAAGCAAGCAAGCAAGCAACGTTTCAGTACAGTTATAACTTTGCTACGAGCCTGACGAGAGGTGTTCGTCGTGGGTTTTCTCTCCGAGGTCGTGTGTGGCTCGGGCACGCGTCTCTAAACATCCAGCCCCCAACCCCCAGCCCATAGCCCCCAACCACCACCCCAGAGAATTTTTATTTTTATTTTTATTTAAACAAATTGTTTCTTTGATTTTCTCATCCCTTTGATCTAACCAACTCCTCCTCCTCTTCCCATCCTTGCCCCCCTCAGCTCCCCAGCCCATCCAAATACAAATTCAAAGTGTATATTGAAAATTGCGAGATTTGATTTTTGTACACTTTGATAATTGTATATATTTTTTTAATCTCTCTAATGTTATTTCAATTGAAAAAGTTTGATTTTGATATCTACGATATATTATTATTATTATTATCAGTGCTTAAGATCGAGTTTTCATCTGAAAGAAAATATCAAGAACGTGCATTTCCCACGAATAATCGTCGACGTCGTCGTCGTCCTTTTCGATGTATTCAAAAATAGAAATCAATTGAAAACAAATCAAAAAAAGGATCGACGTTTGGACCATGCCGGTGGTTGTTGGTGGTGGTGGTGGTGGATCGTTATAATAAGATCGTTATTGAAATACGAGGAATAAAATAGATAACTTGAAGAATGTTGTGCCTTAAAAAACGAAGAACTTACAGTTTCACGCAGGGTACCTGCGTGGATCTTCCTAGACGATCGAAGAAGGACACCGCTCGTTACGAGGGGTCCTTGAACATGGCTATTACGACACTGCCACGCAAGAACAGGTGAGTCAGCTTTACCATTAAAAAAGCTGCAGCTGTTATACCCGGCTACTTTATCTATCTATCTATTTATTTTCTATCTTTCTCACTCTCTTTATTTATTTCTTTATCTAATTCTCTTGAATTTTTTCTATTAGAATTTAAATCGTTTCTTTATTCGTATCTAAGGTCAATGTTCTGAAATTTGTTCAAACGATAGATAATATTTCTATTCGTTGTTATGGTGTTTCGATACTCTCTCTTATCTAAATTAATGATTTTTTTTTTTTTTAATGGATTCTCTCTTATCGTTTATATAAAATTTTGTAATAATTATTTAGTCATCATTTAAATATACTATTTTATTAAGTTTGATCGATATTGGATATACATTTTTTATTTTAATATGTTACCTTTCGTGTTTGTGATTTATATATACTTTTTTCTAATTATTTTTTTTGTTTATCTCTCGTAAAATTTCAATTTTGTTACTTTTTAATTTCTCAATGTAAAATCAAAAATGTTTTTAATTAATAATTACAAATTCATATTACAGCGTTGAAATATTCATTCGTATATTTGTATATAAGTGAAAGATTCATCAATCAACATTTGTAAACTGATGTAATCTCAATTTATCTATCGACACGTATCGTTCAAGATATAATTTCTAAAATAAAAGATAATGTTCTCGTTTAAATGACACTTCATTTATAATTTACGAATAAGAGTATAAAGATTCGTATCGATAATTTTCTAATATAATTTCTAATTTGGTATAGATGATTGTGAATCGATCAGAAAAGTGATATAAATTTTGAATTTATCTTTAAAACCTATCTCTTTATACGACACACGTTTAAAATAAAAGATAAGTAATTCGAATTATTCTCGGCTACCTTAGTTCGTAAATTACGGATTCGTAATACACGAAGGACGTGCGGAGGTAAAAGTAAATGGAATTGTAACTGAACAGCAGCGAGATCACAGGAAAGCATAGCACAACACGAACGAAAGAATGAACAAACAAGTGGAATACAAACGTCCTACGTGTTACAAAATGTATCTACAATAAATTCTTTTCGTTCCGAGAATAATCGAAGTCGTGTGTTGCGAGAAAAAAACTATCGCGTGTTATTGCATTCCGTGCATTCGAACGAAATTACAGATCGAATCCTATCTTCTTCAATTTTTTTTTATACTTCTTCATCTTCTTCTTCCTCCTTCGTGTCTACACCATAAGAGAAGACAAAAATAAAAAAAGGGGAGGAAAAAAGAATATAAAAATTCGGCTAAATTCGCTCACCTTTCTCCTCCTTTGTTATTTGACGTTCAAATTTAAATGGAATTCGACAAAAAAAAAAAATAAAAAAACGAAAAATAAAGAACACCTTTTATGTTCATTGTCCATGTAACAACGTGTTCTACATTGTCCCACGATGTTATCTCCTCGATTCTGCTTTAAATATAAAATCCAGTTTCCAAGCTTTATGTTTGCTACAAGTTAAACTTGTATAAGACCGAGTAAGAGCCTCGATTTGAAACCGTTAACGTTTAATTGTCCTCGCTTCTTCTTCTTCTTCCTGTTTTATTTATTATAATTTAACCGTTAACGAAGAAAGCTAGCTACAAAGTGTTCTTTTTTTTATTTTTACCTACAAATAATCCTCAATCGTTTGATCAATCATCAAATATTACTCTAATCGTGTAACACGATTCACACTATGTATTTATATATATATATACAAATAATTACATTGGCAATTTTATATTGTTAACGATAAGTATCGTGTACTTACGATATTAGAATTAGAAAGAGAGAAAGAGACTTAGAAAAGTAGTTAAGTTAGTCCGATTTCCTGTTTTACGTAAAAGCTTTACGAAGAACATTTTAACGTGCGTTCCTTTCCATCAACTTATTATTATTATTATTATTATGATATTCTCCTTTTTTGGTAAACTCGAAATAGGTTTCCCTACTTCTATTCGACGATCCAAAAATTTCCTCGCTATCGTATAAGTTTCAATTAATTCTTATTTTACCCCATTAGTATTATCTTTTTTTTTTGTTCATATTTATAATTGTATACCTATTTTGTATAGATTTTCATTCTTATATTATTATAAAAGAAATTTGTTATAAATTAAGTTTTCTTGATTTGAAATTATTTATCATTCGTAAGTATATAATGTATAAGATATTAAAAGAAAAAAATTATACAAAATAGATAGATAGAGAGAAGACAAAAAAAAATATGACGATCCTTTTTCTAGGTGCAGTAATGTATTATTAATAATTACACACGCGTGAGGAAGACGTAGAATATTTTAGCTAAAACGATTATAGGTGTACGTATCAGTAAGATGATGTTTCTTGGGAGGAGAGTTTCTCCTAGTGTTAGGAATAGTAAAAGAGAACTAGTAAAAGAGAACTAGATAGAGATAAAGAGAGAAAAAGATTTGAATACTACACAGTCATTAGTTGTGTTGCTACCGTTAGAGATGAACGGAAAGACAAGAGGAACGATGCGAATCGTAATTGCGAATATTACCTCGAGAACTCGAGGATAGTCGATTAGTGTTTCTTTTTATTCTTCTTTTTTTTTTTTTTTTTTCTTTTTTTTTTTTTTTTTTATTCCTTTTTTTTCTGTATTTATTTATTTGTTCTTTCTATTTGAATATTTTCTCGTTAACATCCATATTATTAAAGGCATCTCACGATGTGAGATAATTCTTTACGATGATGACATTATTTATTTGATTATTATACATAGTCATCCTGATTAATATTCGAATCACGTTATTTATATTAATTGTCTTTATCCATCTTTCGATCTATCTAACATTTATTATCTATTTGTACTATATTTGATTAGCTCA